TGTTTTATATAAAAAGTATTTAGTATTTAATAATAATTTCATGTGATGATTTACAAGTTTCAAATTGATTTTATTTAACTATTTTGTTTGTATTTATTTATATTAACCATAAGCATTATTTGATGAATTTTATTGATAAAACAGGTACTTATCATTTATTAAAGAACAATGATAAAAATACCAGAGGAAATTAACCTTGAAAATTACACTCTAATACTTCCCTCAGTGGCTGTTGGAAATGTTGGACAATTATGTACTGATTTATTAATATCCAATTTGAATTTGAATAAAGTTGGAAGTATGTGGAATCCTGTATTCCTTCCAATCTGTGGACTTGATCCTTATAACAAAAATTGTCAGTCTCTTTGTACTGCTGCTGATTTTTATCTTGAAACATATCATAAAATAATTGTTTTACATCTACGTGCACCTCACATTGGACCTTTAAATGATTTCTTTGATAAAATAACACAGTTTATTAAGCAGAAAAAAATCAGTAAGGTATGACATAATAATGCTATATTATTATTAATAATATTCATTTATTTTCCTTATTGTTATAAGGTTTGTTTTTATAGGTAATAATTTTATCCAGTAGTTACGATTATGAGTGTGCTGATAAATCAGATTCAAGCTTAAGATATCTTACTACAGATAATTCATTATTAAATAATGAAAAATTTCTTGAAAGTCTTACTTGGAAAAGGCATGTAAAAAAGACTTCAACAGAATCTGCAAAGCAATATTATATTCCTGGGGGTGGATTTGCAAATGGCTTTTATGATTATCTTAAGTCAATAGGAATTCCTTGTACAGTACTTTTTTGTTATTGTTCTGAAGGAGACAATATTCCGGATGCATTGATACTATTCAAAGGTTTGAATCAGTGGTTAAACTTATTAAAGGAGAATACTGATTATGGTATTAAGTATCCACCTTCTTGGGAATACTTGTTTGGCAATCCACCTTCTCTTGAAATATATTAAACTGTATGTACATTCGTTTATGTAATGCCAATTTTTTAATAATAAATTATAAATGAAATGAAGTATTGTTGTAGCAATTACATTGTACTGAACTGAATTATTATTAGTTAACTTAATTAGTCTTCAAATAATATTCATAATTCTTAATACTAATAATTAATACTAAGCAATATTACACAGAAATTAAATAAAAAAATGTATTTCGAAGAAAATTTGTATGAAAATCATAATATAATTACATTATTTATTATTTGGTTAAGTGACATTGAATTTATGTAATCATTTCTTAATAAATTTATTATTTATAAAAAAATCAAGCAAGAAGCTTGAATTTAGAAGAGAAAGCAGAATATGATACAAAAGCAGCCAAAAGAACAGCAAGGAGTTCTGAGTTAACCCATGGTCCAAGATATATGCCTGGATTATTAAGTACTACTACAACTAGGGGTTTTACACTGCTTGGATCCTCTCCATTTCTTATTGCTTTACGTATAGCTGCATATCTTTCTTCATCATATAGTTTTATGTTGTAATCCCCAGAATGTGCTTTTTTCACATCTTCTGTCCAAGAAACCTATAAAATTGTTATTTTATGTAATACCTTAATTTAACATAAACTGAATTTTATTATAAATTGAACTGTTTACTTTATCATACTTATATGAACTTAACTAAAATATTTCAATACCTGGTATTTATTGTCAGAACTTAATCTAGCAGCCGGTAATGACTTTCCGTCAACTTCTGCGTAGAGTGTAATACCTTTCACACCATTGCTGCATTTAAGCACAAATTGTGTTGTAAAGGCGACATTCGTTAAAATTGTCGCATCTTCCGTAACATATGCAGAAGCAACAACCTCAGGTTTTTGGCAAGTTTCACCAAGAATTTCAGAAATTCCACAAATTATTAAAATAGAAAAACTTGTAAATTGCTTCATCATAGTTTTTTACGTTTACTATAATTGATGACTTGTACAGAATATTGTTTATAAACAAACTATATCAATAAAACTCGAACACCGTTGCTATTGCAGGAACTTAAACCATGTTAGGTTAAGTAATAATTACTATATATTTCAGTGGGTTTGTAACGACCTCTTTGATGACGTATGCATATGTAGGGTTACACGTGGTAAATAGTTGGAAACAGTGGTACCAATGCAATTAAAAAAAATGGTAAGTACATTAAAAAATGATTATCCGTATATAAACATTTTATATTAATACTAAGCAATATTACACAGAAATTAAATAAAAAAATGTATTTCGAAGAAAATTTGTATGAAAATCATAATATAATTACATTATTTATTATTTGGTTAAGTGACATTGAATTTATGTAATCATTTCTTAATAAATTTATTATTTATAAAAAAATCAAGCAAGAAGCTTGAATTTAGAAGAGAAAGCAGAATATGATACAAAAGCAGCCAAAAGAACAGCAAGGAGTTCTGAGTTAACCCATGGTCCAAGATATATGCCTGGATTATTAAGTACTACTACAACTAGGGGTTTTACACTGCTTGGATCCTCTCCATTTCTTATTGCTTTACGTATAGCTGCATATCTTTCTTCATCATATAGTTTTATGTTGTAATCCCCAGAATGTGCTTTTTTCACATCTTCTGTCCAAGAAACCTATAAAATTGTTATTTTATGTAATACCTTAATTTAACATAAACTGAATTTTATTATAAATTGAACTGTTTACTTTATCATACTTATATGAACTTAACTAAAATATTTCAATACCTGGTATTTATTGTCAGAACTTAATCTAGCAGCCGGTAATGACTTTCCGTCAACTTCTGCGTAGAGTGTAATACCTTTCACACCATTGCTGCATTTAAGCACAAATTGTGTTGTAAAGGCGACATTCGTTAAAATTGTCGCATCTTCCGTAACATATGCAGAAGCAACAACCTCAGGTTTTTGGCAAGTTTCACCAAGAATTTCAGAAATTCCACAAATTATTAAAATAGAAAAACTTGTAAATTGCTTCATCATAGTTTTTTACGTTTACTATAATTGATGACTTGTACAGAATATTGTTTATAAACAAACTATATCAATAAAACTCGAACACCGTTGCTATTGCAGGAACTTAAACCATGTTAGGTTAAGTAATAATTACTATATATTTCAGTGGGTTTGTAACGACCTCTTTGATGACGTATGCATATGTAGGGTTACACGTGGTAAATAGTTGGAAACAGTGGTACCAATGCAATTAAAAAAAATGGTAAGTACATTAAAAAATGATTATCCGTATATAAACATTTTAT